AAATCTACCCAAGCCTAATAACAAAGCATGTAATTTTGCCACATAGGATTTCGAAGCACCAGAAGCAGCCACGTAAGCTCAGCGCATTCTGTATTAATATATAGGGGGATTTTATAATAAGATCTTTAGATTGTCTTGTGTTATACGTCAGTCTAAATATCAGATTAAAATACTATTTTTACAAATACACATATTTTATTAGAAAATATCACATTTTAAAAAATAACAGAAATTACAGTAACATATTTGAAAGTATAAATATGCACCTTTTGAGAGCAATACAGAGACATTCTTCTTGATGCCTACTGTTATACTTAGAAAATATATGATCACAAGAAATGACATGACCCACGTACAAATCTCAGCCCAAGTGGATAGACATGGCCCAATCATAGAAATCATCACACAGACGACCCAAGCTATCGCTGTTAGGGTTGTCGATCGCTCGATCGACATGGCGATCACAATCGAAAGCTTCTCTAGGAAGACTAACGACTACCCTGACCATCTGAACACAACCTGATAAAGTTGATAGCACTACCCGAGATGTCCTATCAACTTTTGCATAAAAACACATGGCGCTACCCCTGCGTCCATAGCTGACACTTTTCATTTACTGCATTAGCACCTTTTTTTTATAAATACTGACCCTCAAATCCAGAAGAAAAAATTCAAAGCAACCTAAACAACGTTAAGTCAACACAACCAAATCTCACAAAAGATCATCACAATCATTATTACTCTACTTCATATTATTAACATCTGATCTCCCGAAGATCATGTACAAAGTATTTGGCTGTAATCCTCATACAAAATATTTAGTTTGAAGAAAACATCTCCTAGCCGATCGCCACAGTCAATCGACAATAACGGTGTCTCCTTTTATTTTTACGCACATTTATTTTTGCGATCTCTTTATATTTCACATCACTAAAATTAATGTAGCATAACATAGACGAATGAGAATTATAAATAGTAAACTCTCAAACTTGTTCATTTTTCAACAAATTGGTGCTGAAAATAAGAGGAGAAGTCTTTTTAACCTACAAAGTCCTTAATTAATTAACTTTGCCTAGCAATAAATATTACCTATTAATAATGCACACAATAGTAAGAATAATAAAATAAAAATAAATAATTCAACTAGTGACGATAAACGATCATGCTTGTCTAAGAAGGCTAATGCAATCTCATCTTCATAAAAAAATTACCATAATTGTATCGTAACATTCGATTAAACCGACTTAAATACAATTTACGTATCCTTCGGCGAGTAAATACAATTTTTGTAACCGTTGGTGATCCACGTCAACACCTACACTGATTCTTTTCCGCCGGTAATGCGTGTTGTCATAATTTTAATGTGTTGGGGCAAAACTTTTGATAATGATACATTTAAAATGTGAATCGCTATTTACCGTCCCCTTTTACTTCTCACCGCCTCCAATTACTTTTTGCCCTTCACACTATCTCTCTAATTTCTCTCTCTACTCTTTCCCTCTCGACTTTTTACGGCTCTTTTGACCGTCAAAAAAATTTCGAAAAATCCAAAAAAAATACCATGACATCGGCAAGACATTGAAGATTGACTATGTATGTTTTTTTTATATTTTTTACTTTGTAAATAATTTTAATTTTTTTTTTTTTTTTTTGCGCGTCCGGATGAAACTTCCGGACGCACCATGGGGTGTCCGGCCGGACCGTCCGGACGCCACATTGTAATTTAAATAAACAATCAGAAATTAACAACTGAAATAAAAATAAATAACTAATTAATAATTAAAGCTTTTCCGGGTGCCATATGTAATTTGAGTAAAATCGAGGACTCTTTCCTCGAAATCTTTCACTAATCGTCCGCTGTCGGTGTCTATAAAGCCCAACTGCATTTTCATCTCACCTTCATCGTATTCATTATCACATTATTTTCCATCTTCCATTCATTGCGAGCTCTAACCTCTCCGCTGTGCCTCGATTCGTTCTGCTCAACTCCACCGGCGCTGGTGCAATATCACGGCCGGTCGTCGTAGTCGGAAGGAGAACGTCCTCGTCCGCTCGCCGTCGAATTATCGCGTCCAGCAATGAATCCTGAATAGTAAATCTCTAACTCCCACGGCACCTTGCTTTGAAATGACCAGATTATTCACTTTTAAATCGGATTTTGATAGATCCCCTTTGGTTTTGATTGTTACTGCTTGAGAAATCTGTTTAATTTTACTCTTGATGTGCTGATATTAGATCTGTAGAACTTCCTCTATTGGAATGCTGAAATTTCATCTTGTTATGCAGAGGATTCTCTTCTGGTGAAATTGATTTTAGTTCTTATACATCTTTAATCTCTTGGTGTCATAAGTTTATTGATTTTATACAGAAACTAGATTAGCCTTTTCCTTTGGGTTGACAAAATTTAATTTCACTATGGACTGATTTTTAAAAAAAAATCAGGAATTTCGGTGATAGTTCTACTTTACTGGTTAGTTGGAGGCGTTTGATCTAATTTTTTCTTGATCAGTGGTTGAATCTTGATAGCTTATTCACTCGGGGTAATGTGCCAGAGGACTTGTTTTCGAGGATCCGCTTTTTTTTTTTTTTGGGTCCGACGGACTCCGAATGGTACTGGATTTTCTCCACGGAATTTCTACAGTCTCCTCACCCTTTCCATACTCACCCTCTCCACATTGAAAAATATTCACCATCAAAATTCACCTTCCCAAAACCCGCACATCGACAATTTAGAGGGCTAGCAATTTCGGGACTTGCACGAGACGCCACAATAAAGATCACCCCCGACATCATGGTGCTGACCAGAGCACAAGTGAGGGTTCCACCGCCACCAGAACTCGAGCTTGAGCTCCAATTGGAGCCCGAACCGCGAACGGAACCTAGAGAATTACTGAGGAGAATCTTGTGCTCGAAAATCAGAGGCAACATACTCGATTTTTAAGGGTGTGGTGAATAGAAAAATTCAGCCTTTATATGGATGAGGGGTTTCTCTGGCAGATGGAGAGGCTGCTTGATATACTGAGCTTGTTCGCCACACAGGGATGGTCCAAATTTATGACTGATGGTATTAGGCTTTAAACGATATGGTCATGTCAAATGAAAGAAAAAAAAAAAGGAAATACGGGAAGCAGAAGAGTATAATAGGGGAAGTCAAAATCCCTAAGTGGGAGTATAGATTTCAAACAAAATTCCTGCCACAGAGAACAGAAAAAATGATCAGCAATGCATGTATGTTGAAGTTTAAGAATCTGGTGTTTTTAGGAGTTTAAGCACATAGCTTGGAAAATTGTAGGCACAGTGAATTGGGAGTTTAAGAACTTGGAATTGGGTTAAGAAATTAGTTGGTTATTGCATGCTTATTGTAGTAAGATCAAGCTACTTGTGGTTTTGAAGTGATGTTGCTCAATTGGATTATCTTAGCATCTTACAAGTGCTACCCGTGTTTAGTTTGTGCTACAAAGTAACCTTAGTTATATGATAGATCAATGGGATATACTTGTCACTACCATATATGAAATTTTTGGCTTGAAAATTTTATCACGGTTATAGAGTGAGTGAGGCTAAACTGTTACAAAATATTAGTTATAGTTGCTTGTGAATTTAATTGCATATTTTTCCATCTTGAGACTTGAGAGATATAATGCCACTCATTTATTATTTGATGTCTTTGTTTTCAGCGACTACTTGTTTAAGCTTCTCTTAATTGGAGACTCAGGTGTTGGAAAGTCATGTATTCTCCTTAGATTTGCTGTAAGTCTCATATTGCTTATCATGTGGTGCTTCTTCCATTATTCCTTTTTATTTCTTATGATTCGAAGCTGCTTGCAATTGGTAATCTGTCAAATCCTGATTTCATTAGTGTAGTGGTTCATTAGATTATCGTGAAGTGTAGCATTTAGACATGTATCTTGTGATTTTTCTCCGAAGTGCTTACATATGTAGTAAAAGTATCATTTTATCACTGGTTCACTGTCACTAAATGATGATGACTTCCGGGGCCGCGGCTCACCTTTCTTCGTGATATTTTGTGCAGGACGATTCATACCTTGACAGTTACATCAGTACAATCGGTGTTGACTTCGTAAGTATTTCGGCCTTTGAGTGGTAGGTTTTATGCGGGAGTATAATTATGCTTATTTTCCCTTTGTTTTTGTAGAAAATTCGAACTGTGGAGCAAGATGGGAAAACCATCAAACTTCAAATTGTAAGTGTCTCTCACCTTCCATTCCCCAATAACCAAGTCTTGATACATACTTGATGTTGAACTTTTTAACGTTTGTCTCTCACCTTCCATTCCCCAATAACCAAGTCTTGATACATACTTGATGTTGAACTTTTTAACGTTTTTAATGGCCTTTGATATCAATGTGCAGCACAGAGCCTTTTGGATCATCTACTTTCTCTAGTTAATATGATGTTTGGGGACTTATCAGCTGTTTTACTAGTTATTTCTGTGGCTTATTTTAATGCATATTGAGTTTCCAAACATATTTCTTGCAATTGGGTGCAACTTAATTCTGGCACAGTTTGTCCATGCTTTGATTTCTGAAGTTTAAGGAATGGTCTTTACTCAATTTCTTTTTCTTTTATCTTTTTTATTTTTGGCTTGCAGTGGGATACTGCTGGACAAGAACGATTCAGGACTATAACCAGTAGCTACTACCGTGGTGCACATGGAATCATAGTTAGGTTTTTTTCATGTTGATTTTTATCCCTACTAGTTTACTTTTTGCTTTTGTGATCCTAAGACTGCTGTACAACTTGGAATCGTCTGGCAGATAGTATATGATGTAACTGACATGGAGAGCTTCAACAATGTGAAGCAATGGTTGAACGAAATCGATCGGTACGCCAGTGAGAATGTAAACAAACTTCTGGTAGGAAACAAGTGTGACCTTGCCGAAAACAGAGCTGTCCCTTATGAGACGGCTAAGGTAGACATTTTTTCCTGTTTGCCCTCTTACTAGTTCATTAGTCTCTGAGAAGCTGATCTAAATTTCAAGTTTATCCTTTTTTCCCCCCACTTTGGTAAAGGCTTTCGCTGATGAAATCGGAATTCCTTTCATGGAGACTAGTGCCAAGAATGCCACTAACGTAGAACAGGCTTTCATGGCCATGTCTGCCGACATAAAGAACAGGTTTGCCTCCATCAATCTCAAATAAAATTCTGGCAAAATGCATTTTTAATCTTGTTGGTTTAACGCCATAGCAATTTTAGTCCAAACATTCCAACTTTTCACTTTTTGGTCCTGTCCTGTGATTTAATATTTTGCTGTATTTTCAGTCCTTTTGAGTACTGAAATTCCAACAAAATTTTAAATTACACGACGGAAATTGCAACAAAAATTAAATTATAGGACTTAAATTGCTAATAAAAAATCTATAAATTAAATCATAGGACCAAAAGGCGATATGTTAGAAATTAGAATCTTGAGACTAAAGTTGCTATTGCGTTTAAATAGCAGGACCAAAAATGCAATTTAGCCTAAAATTCTCATTGGTCATGAACTTTAGCGCTACAACCACTAGTATAAGCAAATTCTTCCTTGTCATCACATACGTTAACCGAGAGGTCATCTTTCCTTTAATTTTTCCATCTACTTTGTTTATTTTGAGAGCCATTTTTCTCTTGGATAAATGTAGGATGGCTAGTCAGCCGGCATCAAACACTGCTAGGCCACCTACAGTGCAGATTCGTGGACAACCAGTGGCCCAGAAGAGCGGCTGCTGCTCATCTTAGTGCAAACTTTCTTATCGACCCTGTGAGTTGGTATTTCCTCCTCTGATTTGCAATGGGAAAGTCTCACATTGTGTTTGGTTGGTCCATTCTTTGAAATACTGGCTGTACAAATTACAATTGCGTGCCTACTCTAGTTGTATTTGTTTGTTACTTTTTGCTTTTATTTCTTATAGTTTCTGTCCACAAGAATTGTCATGTAATATGTGATTTGCATTGGTATTGAAATTCAGACATTGAATAATTTTTTCTTATTGAACATCATTCTATTTGCTCTGGGGATATTTGCTTCTTTTAGATTTATAGCATAAAGTGGGAGAAGCATGTATTGTTGGTGCATGCCCAAGTGTTATATGCTCTGTCGTTGCTATTCACAGGGCGGTTAGGTCGATTCCTTTCTATTTGTGTTGTAAAGTCCGCAAGAGATTCCACATGCGTATGCTGAGTTTTTGTGATGAGTTCAGTGCCCACACGAGTAGGATGATCTCTTTCTCGCACGAGTAGGATGATCTCTTTCTCGCAGGGCTTGTAAATCCTTTATCGAAACTAAGCTCAAAATTTTTTGTCGATAAATCGTGCAAGCATCCCTTTTTTTTTATGGTTCTATATATTCCTCATTACATTCATATTTGTACTAGTATATTTTGATTAATATTTCTGTTATGTATATTTTCTCAACTAAATAAGACTTTTATTTCCTAATTTTTTTTTTAATATAATGGCTTATAATTACATTTAATACAACATCGTTCTTTACATGAGTGCTACTTTATACTTGAATCTTATTAAAAAATGTAAGAGAAAAAAGTTTTTTTATTTAAATTTCAAAGATTTTTTAAATAATTACATTATTGTCTGTATTGAAAATGAGGTTTTTCACTTGTAGGATTGGTTCGCCTTATATGATAATGATTTTTCTAATTCATATGTAAAGAATTTATAGTTAATTTTTTTAATGGACATGTATTTTATTAACTTTTTATTTTATTAATAGGTGATTCAATTTTATAATAAAGACAAATAAATTATTTATTTATGTTGTATATGTAATTTGAGTATCAAATTGAAGCTTGTCAATATATATAGGATTGTATATTCTTAATAATTATATTTATTATGCTAAAAAAATATTTTGTTACTAAATAAAAAAAGTTATTAAAATTCTTTTTTACTTGTTTTTTTTTTCTATTTTCTTTTGCTAATTTTTTCTTACCATCATGGTGAGTCTTTTATTTTTATTTTAGGTAATGTGATATCAACACTTGATCTAAATTTATTGATTAAACAAAAGAAAAAAAAATTCAAACTCTCAAAGGATAATTATTTGTAATTAGAAAAGAAATGTATATATAATTTAAAATATTTCCTGAAAGGGCTAGATGATAAAATTTTCTAACCATGATTTTCTTCTCCTATTTAGTTTCCATGTAGCTGCCTCTTTTTTTTTTTTTTTTTTTTTTTTTTTTTTTTTTTTTTTTTTTTTTTTTTTTTTTTTTTTTTTTTT